ACTGAGGAGCTGACTCGAGAAATGCCCCGCCCCTCTGAAAACCATTGTGAGAACTCCGCCTCTTTGGAAGACTCTGTTCAGAAAGCCGAGCCTTGGAGGGACGGAGACGCAATGTTTCCAACGCTATCATGAGGATGCACCCTCAGCCGCCCCCTTCAAACCCGACCTTGCTCTGTCCTGGAATCTCAGCTTGCTCCGTCTCCCCGCACCCTCCTTCAGCTCAGGGAATGCACTCAGCTCGGCCGTGGTTTCCCGTCTCTGCCACGTCTGGAAACAGAAGACCAGGAGCTGGGGCCGCCCCAGGATTTCCCCTCTCCAGAAGCGCCATCCTCGGTTGCCTAGTTTTCAAAACCACTGCTTCATTCTGCAGTAGGAAGCCAGCGGGGAAGGTGAGAGACAGCGCAGCTTGAATCCCAATGCCACGAAGGAGTAGGGGTGGGATCTGGCTGTGTGTCTGATTAGCCTTTTCTCTGCCTTGCTGGTCTGAGCTTTAGCAGAGATCGAAATGGCAGGCGGTGAGGCTGGGTAGGACAAAGGCGATTTCTCGCTCAGGGAGAGCCGCTCACCCACATCTGAAACCTGGGACCACCAGCCATGGACGTGTGGGCGCACCTGCTGCTGTGTCCAGCACAGCCGTCCTGGAGTCACTCACCGCGACCTCAGGTACTTGAACGGGCTGGAACTGCATCAAAAGACTTCAAGGTAAAGCACATCGCCCTGCTGCTTGCGACTTGCTGTGGCTGGAGGTGAAGAATCCCACACATCCGCAAGTCCCCGATTGGGAACAAAGGAGAGCAGACTGTCTAAAGGATTCTGTATTAGCTTGGATTCCTTATGAGCTCAGAGCTCCACATACTGCACCAGTGTCCAGTGCTGGTGATTCCAGTGGGCCATCTCTGTGAAAAACACAATTTTGCCTTTTTGTAATCCTATTTGAGCACGTTGAAGTTTAATTAGCTTTCCAACCAACTGAATGTCAGTATTCAAATATTTAAGTGCTACTTAAGTGTTACTGTGGCTCCAAAGAAGCTATTGATTCTGGAGTAGCAGACTGATTGAGTTGACTTTTTTTTTTGAAGATTTATTTATTTATTTGAAAGAGTTACACAGAGAGAGAAGGAGAGGCAGAGAGAGAGAGAGAGAGAGAGAGAGAGGTCTTCCATCCGCCGGTTCACTCCCCAATTAGCTGCAATGGCCAGAGCTGTGCCAACCTGAAACCATGAGCCAGGAGCTTCTTCCAGGTCTCCCACGCGGTTGCAGGGGCCCAAGGACTTGGGCCATTCTCCACTGCTTTCCCAGGCCACAGCAGAGAGCTGGATCAGAAGTGGAACAGCTGGGACTCGAACTGGCACCCATATGGGATGCTAGCATTGCAGGCTGTGGCTTTACCTTCCATGCCACAGTGCTGGTCACAAGTTGACTGTTTTTAAAAACCTGGTCATGGGGCTGACGCTGTGGCATAGTGGGTTAAAGCCCCAGCCTGCGGCGCCAGCATCCCATATGGGTGCTGGTTCAAGTCCTAGCTGCTCCTCCTCCAATCCAGCTCTCTGCTATGGCCTGGGAAAGCAGTAGAAGATGGCCCAAGTCCTTGGGCCCCTGCACCCATGTGGGAAACCTGGAAGAAGCTCCTGGCTCCTGGCTTTGGATCAGCTCAGCTCTGACCATTGCAGTCATTTGGGGAGTGAACCAGCAGATGGAAGACCTCTCTCTCTTCCTTACCTTCTCTCTCTGTGTAACTCTTTCAAATAAATAAAATAATTCTTATAAGAAAAAAACCTGGTTACATTTTAGTTGTGACACAGAATTTATAGTAACACAAATTTGGTTTTACACAGACATTTCCACTCAAGTGGATAAACTCCATAAAGGTCATATCCCCTCACCCCAAATACCCCAAAAACCCATTGTTTCATATAACTGTGACTGTTCCTGTTGTGAGGATAGATGTGATCCTTGCTGCTCCCTGTTTCATTGCTCTAAAACCCTCTGCCTTCCACCCCTTTATCCCTCTCTCCCCACCAGCCCCTGGCAACCACTGATTTTTATGCTGCACCAGTAGTTTTGCCTTTCCCAGAATGTCACATAGTTAAATACAGCATGGAGCCTTTTACGTAGTAACATACACTTTCACTAAGTAACATACACTAAGTTTTCTCCATGTCTTTTAATGGCCCAATAGCTCATTCCTCTTTAGTGCTGTGTAATATTCCATGGTCTGGATGTAGCATACCAAAGGACTTTTTTAAAGATTTTATTTATTTATTTGAAAGGCAGAGTTACAAAGAGAAAGGACACACACACACACACACGTATCTTCCATTAGCTGGTTCATTCCCTAAAGGGCCACATTGGCCAGGACTGGGCCAGACCGAAGCCAGGAGCCAGGAGCTTCCTCCAGGTCTCCTACAAGGATAGCAGGGGCCCTAGTGCTGGGGCCATCTTCTGCTGCTTTCCTAGGTGCCTTATCAGGGAGCTGGATCAGAAGTGGAACTGCCAGAACTCGACCTGGTGCTCATATGAGAGCTGGTGTTGCAGGTGGCAGCTTTAGCTGCCAGGCCACAGTGCAGGCTCAGGAGAGCACCTTGACTGCTTGCAGGCCCTGGTAGTTATGAATCCGCTGGGAAGACCCAGACTGAGTTTCAGCCTCCCAGCTTTGCCTTGGCCCGCCCTGGGCTGTTACAGGCATTTGGGACATGCACCAGTGGGCAGAAGATCTTTTTGTGTCTGTCTGTCTGTCTCTTTATCTTTCTCTCTCTGTCTTTCAATAAACAAAAATTAAATAGAAATTAATAAATACATTTTTAACTAAAGAAAGATAGGACTGTGGGACGTGAGAACTCCAGGGTCTTATGCTTGTGGGCCCCAGCTCGGTGACCTGCAGCCCCCAGGACCCCAGGCCTTTGGCTGAGAGCTCCCTGCTGGCTCCCCAGCCCCCACTCTCAGGCCTATGGACTCAGACTGAATCACGCCACCAGCTGGCTTGGGTCTCCAGCTTGCACACCGCATGCTGTGGGACCTCTTGTTCCCGTAACCGGTCCCCTCCTCTGCATCTCTGTAGAGCCTGTTGGTTCTCTTTCTCTGGGGGACCCTGATATCTGCTCCATTCTAAACACCTTTTGCTAACAAGGTTCTCAGCCACCTTGTACCAAGGGCTGTTCACACACCATCTGCTATGGGATAAGACATGCTTTGACCCATGTTCCCCAAGGGCCCATGTGTTGCAATTTTTTAAAAAGATTTATTTATTTGAAAGACAGATGTACAGAGAGGCAGAGGCAGAGAGAGAAAGAGAGAGGTCCTCCATCCGATGGTGCACTCCTCAGATGGCTGCAATGGCCGGAGCCAGGAGCCAGGAGCTTCCTCCAGGTCTCCCACGCAGGTGAAGGAGCCCAAGGTCTTGGGCCATCTTCCACTACTTTCCCAAGTCATAGCAGAGAGTTGGATTGGAAGTGGAGCAGCCAAGACTCAAACTGGCGCCCATATGGGATGCCAGCACTGCAGGTTGTGGCTTTACCTGCTACACCACAGCGCTGGCCCTGATGTGTTGCAATTCAATCTCCATTATGAGGCATTGAGAGGGTAAAGCTGAATCTGACCATGGTGTTTGGATACAGGGCCTTAGGGAGGTGACTGGGATGAGCTAAGATTCTTGGGAGGAGCCCCCATGACTGACTGCAACTCTGGAAGAGAAGAGACCAGAGAGACCCCTGCAGGTGCACCCCTTGTGTCTCAGCATGCGACGCCAGCAGGCCCTTGTCCACAACTGTGAGCCGAAATAAACCCTTTCCTTCGGAAGGGCCCAGGCGCTCGAGTTTCCTTGTGCAGTGACAAGTGGCCCAGTACGTCCTCTCCCGAGGCCGTGGCTGTGGACTGAGCTGTCAGAGCCGAGCCGGCTTTCTCAGACCACTCCTGGTGCAAGCTGGGTCCTCTGGGATGCAGCTCCTGGGTCAGGGTCGAGAGTATGAGAGTTTGCTGGGAAGTGGTATCTGTGGGAGGAGAAGGGAGCACGTGGGGTGGGAGGGGGAGCCCCCCCCCCATCACAGGGAGACCAACAGTCTCTACCGAGGGGCTGGGAGCGCTGAGCACACGCTGCAGGTGGGATGAATCCGCCATGGGCAGGAGCGGGCGGGCTCTCGTCCCCTGGCCTTGCTCAGCCCCAGGACAGGGATGTCCCTGAGCAGAGCGCTCAGAAGCAGGGCCCAACCCTGAAAGAACAGCCGGAGGCTGCTAAGAGCCAGGCTGCTGCTCTGCGGATCTGTTGAAGCACCGCTCTGCCCGCCATCCGGGCACCTTTCTCCCCTGGCAGAGACGAGGCGCAGGTCCAGCCACATGAGCCCATTCCAAGCCCCTGCTTGCATCGCGTCTGCTAACCCCAGGTGGGCTGCAGCCGGTCAGGTGGCCCAGCCCCCCGGGAAGGGTCACAGAAACACATCCAAGCCCACCATGGGGCTTAGCAAGGGCGGAAGAGTTCCAGGCGTGGGAAGAATCGGGACCACACATCAGGTCCACTTGGGATAAAGGCCTTTGGAAAGTGCTGGGCACTGGCCTCACGGGGTTACTACTGTGACCACGTGGCCAGGGGCCCAGCTGTGCTAGGCCTAGGAGTGCCACAGACACCCATGAGGAGGGGCAAGCTCTTGATGACATCCCTGTAGATCGGCTTTGCTACCTGGAAGTCACAGCTGCAGTTTGGGCATGGAAAAAGCCCAGTGGACACAAACTCACGCTGTGTCGTCCGCCCAAGACCCCTGCCACGCAGACTGGGGCTGGCCGCGAGGATCGACAGCAGCGTGGGGCGCCAGCAGGGGCGCCAGCCCAGCTTCTCAGATGAACCGAACGCCCTGAGTTCCGGCTTCTTCCCGAGGGGAAGCCCGCGCCCTCCACTTAGCGCTGGCGCCTGGCCATTCCCCCGGCACTCATCCTAGCGGAGCCTGGAAGCTCCGCCTCTCACAGCGGCTCCTCGGCTCGGCCCTGGCCCTGCCCCGAGCGCTCCAGGGAGGATGGAAGCTTCAGGGCCGCCCCAGGCCAGGAGGTGCGGCCCGGAGACCCTGGGGAAGCTTTTCCCCAGCTTCTGCTTCCTCGGCTGCCTGGTCACCTATGCGCTGCTGGGAGCTGTGCTCTTCTCGGCCATCGAGGGCCACCCGGTGCTGGGGGCGCCGGACAATCGGGAGTTTGAGGAGTTCCTGGAGACGCTCTATGGCATCTTGGACTGCAACAGAACAGGTAGGAGCGTCACCTGCCCCGGGCAGGCCTTTTCCCCAGGTTGAGAACAGAGGCCGCCCTGCTACAGGCTGAGGCTGGGAGCTGCCTGCTGGCGTCCTCCCCTTTCCTGGGTGGGTGGCTTTAGGCCAGTTCTCTCTGCACTTCAGTTTTCTCCTCTGGGAAATGAGGAGAATGAGGACCCCTCTGGGGTGCAGTGAAGAATGCAGGAAAGGCACTGAGCCCCCAGCTTCATGATGCCTCCACCAGAGGGGAAACTGAGGCTCAGAAACCTCTTCCCCAAAGGAAGCTTGCGAAGATGCATTTCACAGAGCAAGCTAAAACACGAGGGGCACTGAAACAGAAGGCAAAGACAAACCAGGCTGTAGGAGTCAGGGGAAGAACAGGGCAGGGAGTCCCCAACCTGCCCGGTCCAGTGGGGCCCCAGCTGCCTGCCCAGGGCTCCTCCCAGAAGCTACCCCTTGCTTTGCTCCCAGGGACTAAAAGGTCAAGGCAGGCAGTCTTCTGCAGTAAAGGGGCTACTCCCTGCACCCTGCCAGACAGACGCAGGTCTGCTCAGTAGTCCTGGGAAATACCTCAGTCGCTGCCCAGTTGCTAGAGGCCATCACATCTGGGTCGCCAGCAAGTTCCAGGCTCTCCCAAGCAGCCCACACAGGACAGTCATCCAAGCAGCTTGTATAGAATACACGGGTTCCTCCCCACCTCTCCTTACTCAGCCTTTCAGGGCTGAGCTGGGCATCTGATGTTTTCTGGCTCATTCCAGTGCACAGCGAGGTGAGGAAGCCCAGGGCTGGTTCAGGCCTGTTGTGCACCGGGTTCACCAGAGGGGGTTAGAGGGGACCCTTGGGGGCCCCTTTTCACATATCATCTCATTTAACCCTCCAAAGGCCCCTTAGGAGCCGGGTATGCCTTGTCTTCCTTTTACAGGAAACAGAGGCAGGGGGAGGTTAGGGAACTTGCCCCCAAGTCCACACTAGCAAAATGGAGCCGGGGATTCAACCCCAGGCATTTGGGCTCCAGAGTCTGGACTTTCAGCACCATGTCCTGCTGCCCCCCGCCCCCACGTCCCCCGGGAAGGAAGCGGATGCTCAGAAACAGACCTCAGAGGCCGGGGAGGATCAGAGCCGGGTCTACACAGCAGGCGTCCGACTTCCAGGCTGGTGCCATTCAAACGAATAGAGACTTGCACTCGGAGCTGGCTTGGTGCCATCCTCCCCCACTGTGCCCCAGTCTGATGGGTGGCTTCTGGGGACAGGCTCACCAGCTGCTGAGGCCAATAGAAGCACTTAGGAATCTGTCTGAGAAGCCAGGGTCCCCAGGCACTCTGTCGGCCCTGGGACCAGTGTTTTGGGAGCCAAGGCTTAGGAGTTGTGGAGGAGAAATCACACACAGCCAGCCCAGTGTGATGAGCGTCGCCAGCCCTGTAAAGAGCTCCCACAGTGGCACCATTGGACCCCACGTGTCAGTTGCATTTCTTGAAAGAGTTTTTGCTTTTGATTTGCAAGAGTGCCACGGGACAGCACGGTAGTAGTCATCCCCCTTGGAAAGGTGAGAGAAGCGGAGGTTCAGAGAGCTAAGACGTCTCCCCGAGTCTGGCATAGCTCAGGCATGGCGCCCACAGACCTCTGCTAGGCTCTCTGCCTGTGGGGCCACGTGGCTGCCTCACACCACACGGATCAGATGTAGGATCTAAGCTACAAGATCATTTTAAAGGCAGGCTCCGAGGACCAAGCTGCGGTGTCGATGGGGCCACGGGGTGGGGGCCGCTTGTCCTGGGGGAGGACCCTGCCCGCTGGAAGGCGAGCCCCTCCCTCACTGTGCTCTCTCCTCCTCCAGCGGTGGAAGGCAGGAAGGAGGCCGTGCGGGTGCACCTGCAGCAGCTGAAACCACAGTGGTTTCACGGGCCGGCCGACTGGACGTTCCCCAGCGCGCTGTTTTTTTGCTGCACTGTGTTCAGCACCGTGGGTGAGTGCGAGGGCAAGGGCAAGGGCAAGGGCAGGCCTGCAGGAAGAGAGGCCTGGGGAAGGGTGGGGAGCGGGGAGGCTGGGCCCTCGGGTAGCGATGCTGGGACACTCATGTAATAGGAGGTGAGGCGGTGGCGGCGTGCCTACCCTGGCCCAGCCTCCTATGCCTGGGCAGGCACCATGAGCAGGGCTGCCATGGGCCCTGAGGTTCCTCTGGGAGAATAACACGAGCGTCCTTCCTCCTCTCGGGTGGGTGCTGCCCCTGGCTCAGCCCAGTTGGTTTGGGGACGGGGGGAGGGCTTCCCGGAAGTGGCATTGGAGTTAGTGTCTGAGGATCTCAGGGATTCACCCTGCAAAGATGGGTGAGAGAGTCTCCAGGTGGGGAAAGCCTCCAGGCCAACCCCCCCCCCCCCGGGGTGCACAGGCCCCTTGGAGGCAAAGCTGAGTGGGTGGGCAGAGTCAGGCCTCCTGGGCTGGGAGGATGGGGCTGGTCTTGCACTGGGCCAACAAGCTGTGCTCCAGGTTGGGCTGCCCACCCTCGGCTTCCCTTCAGGGGGTGCAGCAGGTGGGCCAGGATGCAGGGTCTGAGCCAGGCCAGGTAGGAACTGACTCTGCGGGGCAAGGGTCACAGAGAGCGGGGGAGGTGGAGCTGCCCCCAGCCTCTGCGCAGGAGCTCTTGGGTGTGACCATGCCCCAGCCACCACCCCTCTGGGCCAGCCAGAAAGATTGGGACCTCCGTCTCCATCCCAGACAGCCACAGAGCTGGGGCTGCAGCTGGTCCTGTGGCCTGTCATGCTCGGGGTGGTGGTGAGCCTGGGGCCCCCACCCCTGCTTTTTTTTTTTTTCTTAAAGATTTGTTTTATTTGTTTGAAAGACAGAGTTACAGAGAGAGGTAGAGACAGAGAGAGAGAGGTCTTTCATCTGACAGTCACTTCTCAATTGGCCACAATGGCTGGAGCTGGGCCAATCTGAAGCCAGGAGCCAGGAGCTTCTTCCTGGTCTCCCATGTGGGTGCAGGGGCCCAAGGACTTGGGTCATCTTCTACTGCTTTCCCAGGCCATAGCAGAGAGCTGGATCAGAAGAGGAGCAGCCAGGACTAGAACTGGCACTCATGGGATGCTGGCGCTTCAGGCCAGGGCTTTAACTTGCTGAGCCATAGCGCTGGCCCTGGGACCCCCACCCTTAACCATGTTAGGTGTGCCTCTTGGGGGACACTGAGGGTCAGAGGCTGACTTCCTGTAAAAGCAGCAGCCAGGAAGCCCGCTACCCCCTGCTGCAACCAGCAGAACACCCAAGCCAGCTGGCTTGCAAGTTCAGGGAAACGTGCCACCTAGGATAAAGAGGGGTCTAGGGGGAGGACAGCTGTGGGGCCGCAGCTCGGCTGTGGCACTGAGCACGGGGCTTCTCTATCCTCCTGCTCAGACAGGGTCACGAGAGGCCACCGAGGCCCACGCCCTACCTGACCGTAATGGCTTCCGGCACAGAAAGGACGCCTGTTCCTTCCATGGGTGACAATCAGCCAGGCACTCTTCCCAGAAGCCCCCACTGGGCCTCCCAGCCACACCCAAGCTGGGAGCCTGAAAGAGGGCTGGACCACACCGGAGCTCCACGAGAGAGCCCCCGCCCCCCTGCCCTCGGGGTTCCTCTTCTTCAAGGGGATGTAGATGTTGGCAGGGCCAGGCGACAGGCAGGAAGAGAGCTCATCACCCAGCAGGTGCCCCACATGGGCAAGGTGCGTGAGGGACTTTGTCGTATTTAATTCTCACAACTCTCTGAGCTCAGGGTGATGGGGCTCAGGTGACGGGGCTGAGATGGGAGTTGGACAGAGCCAGCAAGGCAGGGGCAGGGCTGCGGTCCAGCCCCACTGCTGGGCCTCCGGGGGCAGCTGGCCCAGCTTCTCAGACACCTCTCCACTGGATAATTCTAGGGTGTGGGTGGGCTGGCCTACCCATTGCCATTTTTAAAAAGGATTTATTTATTTTATTTGAAAGGCAGAGTGACAGAGAGGCAAAGTCCAGGAGAGAGAGAAACAGAGAGGGAGAGGGAGAGATAGAGAGATAGAGAGAGAGAATCTTCCACTTGCTGGTTCACTCCACGATGGCCAGAGCTGGGCTGATCTGAAGCCAGAAGCCAGGAACTCCATTGAGGTCTCCCACATGGGTGCAGGGACCCAAGCACTTGGGCCATTTTCTACTGCTTTCCCAGGCATATCAGCAGGGAGCTGGATCGGAAGTGTAGCAGCCAGGACTCAAACTGGTGCCCATGTGGGATGCTGGCACTGCAGGCCAGGGCTTTAACCCATTGTGCCATGATTTCTTAAAAAATTATGTTGAGGGCCAGTGCCATGGCTCACTAGGCTAATCCTCTGCCTGCGGTGCTGGTACTCCGGGTTCTAGTCCTGGTTGGGGCGCTGGTTCTGCCCCAGTTGCTCCTCTTCCAGGCCAGCTCTCTGCTGTGGCCCGGGAGGGCAGTGGAGGATGGCCCAAGTCCTTGGACCCTGCACCCGAATGGGAGACCAGGAGGAAGCACCTGGCTCCTGGCTTCGGATTGACGCAGTGTGCCGGCTGTAGTGGTCATTTGGGGGGTGAACCGATGGAAGGAAGACCTTTCTCTCTGTCTCTCTCTCTCTCACTGTCTAACTCTGCCTATCAAAAAAAAAAAAATTATGTTGAGAGGCACAGAAACAAAGAGACAAGAGACAGAAAAAGAGAGAGGGTCCCCATCTGCAGGTTCACTCTCGAATTCCTGCAATTGCCAGGGCTGGGCTGGGCTGAAGCTGGGAGCAGGGAACTCAACCCAGGTCTCCCGTGGGGAAGGTGGGGACCCCAGTACTTGAGCCATCACTGCTGCCTCCCAGGGGGCTGCATTTGCAGAAAGCTGGCGTCAGAAACTGGAGGGGGTACAAACTCAGGCCCCCTGATGTGAGATGAGGGTGTCCTGGGGGCCAGGCCAAATGTCCACCCCCACCCCCACATACAATGTTGAGTGGCAGGCTGGTCTCTACACACAGAATCAGATTACCTCTTACCACCCCCACCAGAAGTGTCTCCAGACTTGGCCAAAGGTCCGTTCCCCTGAGACGCTGATCCATTGCAATGGATCCGGACCTGTAGCTTTGACATCACTGTGGAACTTGTCAGAAATGCAAGTTCATTCTCAAGCCCCATCCTAGACCTCCCTACCCCACCGAGCCAGAAACCATGGAGGCGGGGCCGCAGGGTTCTGATGCGTGCTGATGTGTGCGAAGCACCAGGCCAAGGCACAGGTTCTCAGCGGTGGCTGCACATTGGACTCACCCAGATGTCTTTTCCAGGCACCTATGTCCGGACCCTGGCCCAGGCCACGAGAGCCAGAGTCTCCAAGGCCAGGCCAGGCCTGGGCGGCAGCGGGCTGCAGACGCCTCCAGGTGGTTTTACTGGAACTCCAGCCTGTTAGACGCTGGTCTAATGGAAACGCATTAGCTGCCCTCAGGACGGCCAGGCTGCACTCCCCATTGTCCAGGGCAATTAAGACCTCAGGCCACGCGGTAATTAAAGCTGGAAGGGGATATGGGGGATGCTCCGATGGGTGCCTCCTGCCCTCATCTCCCAGTCACCTGAAATGCACCTGGCCTTGGTGCTAAGAAAGGGATGCCCAATAGGTATGAGCCCCCTCAACCGCCCCCCCTTATACCCCGCCCCAGTCAATCCCAACCGGGTCAGCCTCTTTCAAGGAGAAAGGAGAGTGTGCGCACTATTAAGTCCTCACGGGCTAGGGGCAGTGCGCAGTGAGCAGATCGGGTCGGGACACGCAGATGCGTTCCGGGAGATGATAGGACTTTGCACTGTGTGCATCTTGGCATTTGGGAACTGGGGTGGGTGTGTTCTTCCTGACACAGGGGCTGTGTGCTCTGAGACTTGCTTCCACGGTGCATTTCCTGGCCTGAGCCAGGCGCAGCTTTCGGCTGCAAACAGCTCATCCACCCTTCCAATGAGAGTGTGGGGTTGCGCATGCGTGTGGGGAAGGTCTTGGGAGGGGGAAGTAGGGGATGCAAGTCCTTGCTGGCTCTGGGCTGTGTGGCCCTCAACACATCACCAGACTTCTCTGTTCCTTATCCATTAAAAGAGGAAAACAGCTGAGGTTGCCAGCTTAGTATTGCTGTGCAGATTTTGACTCTAAAAGTACTGTACAAATTCTGCAAAAAAAAAAAAAGCATTATATTCTTTAAAAAGATTTTATTTATTTATAAAGCAGAATAACAGAGAGATCTTCCACCTGCTGGTTCACTCCCCAGATGCCCACGATAGCAGAGCTGGGCTAGGTCAAAGCCAGGAGCCAGGAGCCAGGAGCTGTGTCTGGGTCTCAGGCCGTCACCTGCCACCTAGCTGGGACAGAAGAGGAGGCAGGACTCCATCCTGGGCACTGATAGGGGACGCGGGCACCCTGGGTGGCAACCGAACCCACTGCACAACACCTGCCCCACTCTCAAGAGAAATCTGACGGGGCCCCTGGCCTGGAGGCTGCGGGGGTTACTAGTTCCTATTGGCTGGGTGGGAGGGGGCCTCTCCTGACTTTCCCTGTGGGGACACAGAAACAGGGGAGCTTGCTCGTGTTCTCAGAAGTGGGTGGGACACGCTGCGGGTGGGTGCTGCTGCCAGCCGCTGATGTCTCAGAGGGCTGGCGGCCCTCAGAGCCCATGCCAGCCTGGCCACAGGGGTCCCTGCTGAACCCCTCGGGGCCCTTGCGCCCCCAGGAGCAGTTCCAGCACCCTCTGGAGGGCACTGACATCTGCCGGTTCCTCCTCGAATCCTTCAACCCCGCCCACCAGTGACTGGCACACAGTAGGAGCTCAATAAATACACTCATTCAGTCAACATCTCGTTACCCATGTGCCAGGCACCGTGCGAGGCACTGAGGGGTCCAGGAACAAAACAGACAAAAGTGTCCGTGATGGTGAAACGGGCAGTAACCAAGTGCACACAGTAGGTCGGATGGTTATGGGAGTTAGAGGCAGCAGCTTGGAGAGGATGAGTCTAGAGTGTGAAATGGGGAGGGAGTGGCCTGGAAATATCCCCCTGAAAAGATGGCGTCCAAACCAAAGACTGAAGGAGGTGGAGCAGTCAGCCGTGTGGCTCTGTGGACTCTGTGGAGTAGGAACCTTCTAGGCGGAGTGAAGACAGTGCAAAGGTCCTGGGGCAGGTCCCGCCTGGCTTGTTGGAGGGGCAGGAAGCAGGACGGTGTGGCTGGGGAGGGTGGGACAGGAAGCTGGGGTACAGGGTCTCACAGGCATTGTGAAGACTGGATTTTATCCGGCATGAGATGGGAACCTGCAGAGGGTTCTGGTCAGCTTTGATTAAAGGGGATTATTCATCTGAAACAAGAGAACGAATTAATGAGTGAACCAAGAACACGGCACTGGTGTGGTCACAGAGCCGGGCCGCTCAGCTGTGCTTCCCTCCCAGGTCCCTAGGAGCCTGGAGTTGGTTTTAGATGTGGTGGATGCAAGATGGGCAGTTCCCGCCCCGCTGTTTTCCCACGGCAGCCCGGGCTGTGCCTGGCCCCCCACCTGCAGGAAAGGCACAGGAAGACATCACCGACGACACCTCCTGTCTGTGGTCCAGAAAGCTGAGCACTCCTCCTAACAGCGGGACTCTCCACCCACCACCCTGGACCCGGGGACCGGCATTCCTTCCCCTCTTGTGCACAGGGGCACCAAGTGATAAAGCCCCTTGCCCCAGGTCACACAAGGTCACAGTGTGTGAGTCACCGAGGGAGGGCTTTGCGTGATTCAGGTCTGATCCCAGGGCACCTGTTCCCAGCCACCCAGCTGCACCGCCTGTTCTCTATGATGGCTGCGGATTCTGTGAGCAATCAAAGAATGAACCCAGTGATCCAGATTCGGGGCTGCCTGCTCTCGCCTCCATCCCTAACTCCGTCCTGGCCTCCCCAAGGTCCCCTGTCTCCCACCCCATCCCGCTGAGACCCCTTGTGATGTCATGGAGGCGTCTGCAGGGTCCTGCTCCTTGGGAGGCTCCTGGGGGCAGGGGCTCCTTCCTGGGCCCCTCCAGCTGCGGTAGCCCCTGTTTCTTGCCTGGTGACCGCATCGGGCTGGTCTCTGTGAGGGAGATCTCCCTCCGCCTTTCCTGCAGGGCGCGGATGACGGTGCGTGGGGCCCACATTGGTGGTGCAGGAAAACCGCCTCCTCTCAGAGGCCCTTCCAGATTGCGGTCGCTAAGACTCGGGCACCTTTTAGGGGGCAGCGCCATTTTGCAGCCTGCCATGCTGATGAAGGCAACTCCCCCACCCATCTGGCACCTGAGCCCCTGGACCCTGCCCACCTCCCTGGACACTGACCCCACCCACCGGCGTTTGCTTGGTGCCCTCAGCCAAGCTGACAGCCACACCCTGGGTGACCTTGGTGACGAATTAGAAGGTAACATCGCTTTTAGGCAGACACAGTCCTGCGTCCTGAGCCCTGAGCTCCTGGCTTGGTAAGTACACCTCAGACTAGATTTCAGCTGCACACACTGCCCTCCCACCATGGGAATGTCCCCTCCTTAAACCTGTCACAGGGCCTTTGCGCCTGCGGCTGCTTCTCTCCTTACCTCCCAACCTCAGCTGCTGGTGAGTCACCGCACCAGCAAGTGTTCCCGGAGCCTAAATCCAGGAGGCGTGCCTTTGTTCTAATCACTCATAGAACAGTCTGCTCTTACCGTGGCTGATCACGTGCTCACTAGTGTGGTTATTTGGTCACTTTGCCTCTCTCAGCAAGCTTGGATCCCATCTCTACTTTGCTCAGCCTGGTGACGCCAGTGCATGCAGTAAGTGCTTAATACATACTCATCAAACAAATGAATGCACATGTGGCCTGAGTGGCCGTGGAGCAACCTGGGACAGAGCCCATCCCATGGCTCCCCGCCTCCCTGGTGGGGTGGGCACCCCAATGCCGCACGGCCCTGGAGGGCAGCACTTCAGGCTAGAGCTTGCTGTGGGCAGCTTCGGTCCTGGAGGGGCAAGGGCTCAGCCAGCCCGGGCATGGGCTGCACATTAATTTGCATAACCGGGCTGAGTTTTTCTGCATTACTTGTCCTCATGACCCTGGCATTTCAACACCGGCACTGAGCACAGAGCTGTCTCTTCTGCCTGTTGAAGTCTCGGAAGCTTGGCCAGCCCGGAAGTCTCTCTACTCCTGCTCCTTTGGGAATGTGAGGGTGGAGCTGGGGTGGGGCGGAAGGAGGGGCCCAGCGGCCCCTCCCTTTTCTTGGAGGACCAGGTCTGACTGGCTCATGGGCCCCCGCCCTGGGCTGCACTGCGCTGCACTCCCAGCCCCGCCCCTTGTCACACGGATGCTGTGGCTCTGCGCTTCAGTCTCCCCACCAGGGAAGGCTGCTTGGTTCTCAGGGAGCAGCCACTGCCAGCCCTCAGCGCCAACACGCACCCACGGCACGGCAGGTGCTCCCCCAGCCGGTCTGTATGTGAGTACGGACGGGCACCCCTGCTTTATAGCTAAGAAGCCTAGAAGTAGGACAGGCATTTGGCATGGCAATTAAGATGCCACCTGGGACACCTGTGTCCCAGGTGGGGGGTGGGGGTCAGAGTCCTGGCTTCTCACCCTGAAGAGGAGCCGCCCCTCCCACTGCAGGCACGTGGACACTTCCCGACCACTGCTTCCAGCCCCGCGGGTAAACAGCACGCCAAGGAGGGGCCACGACGGAGGTCTCTTTAGAGATTTTTTTTTGGGTGGGGGGAGCAGACCACTTCCCAGCCTCGGTCTTGTTTCTCAGGTTACAGCCGCATCTTCCCGGTCACCAGGCTGGGCAAGTACCTGTGCATGCTGTACGCCCTCTTCGGCATCCCGCTGATGTTCCTGGTCCTCACCGACATCGGCGACATCCTGGCAGCCGTGCTATCCGCATCTTACGGTCGGCTCCGGAAACTGCCTTTCCTCACCCCCCACCCCTCCAAGTGGTGCTCGCGACCACCACCGCCGGGGAGACAGCCAGAGGCCACTCGGGGAGGGGACGCCACCGCCGGCCCGCAGATCGTCATCAGCGCCGAGGAGCCCCCGGACCCCAAGCCTGGCAGGTGTCCCGCAGCCGCAAGCTGCAACACGGAGCTGTTCGAGAGACTTCTCACCAGGGAGAAACAGAACAGCCTACAGCTGCCGCCGCGGGCTGTGGAGAGGAGCAGCTCGTGTCCCGAGCTGGCCATGGGGCGCTTCTCCTACTCCATCATCAGCAACCTGGACGAGGTGGGGCGGCAGGTGGAGACCTTGGACGTGCCCCTGCCCGTCGTCGGCCTGGTCGTGTTCGCCTACATTTCCTGTGCGGCGGCCATCCTCCCCTTCTGGGAGACGAAGCTGGACTTCGAGAACGCCTTCTACTTCTGCTTTGTCACCCTGACCACCATCGGGTTTGCGGACACAGATCTGGAACACCCTCACTTCTTCCTCTTCTTCTCGCTCTACATCCTCGTGGGCATGGAGATCCTGTGCATCGCCTTCAAGCTGGTGCAGACCAGGCTGGTGCACGCCTACAAGAGCCTCCTGCTCTTCTTCGCCAAGGGCAAGTTCAACGACCTCGTGCGAGAGTGAAGGCTCCCGGGATGAGCTGGGTTCTGGGCCCTGTCTTCCGGGGCAGCGTGGTCAGAACTGGTGGCGCTAAGTAGCCTGTCACCTGAGACTTCGGGGTGTGGAGACACATCCATGGGGTGGGGGGGGCTTCGCTCAGTCTTGAGGTCCCGTAGAATGCACTGACCTGCTTTCCTGGTAGGATATAAGGGGAAAAACAAACCCTCTCACCACCCTCTGAAGTCCAGTTAATTCCCGTCTGCATTTTTTAAAAAAGGCACATGCCCCGTATCCAGACAAAACAGTCTCTGGGTGCCACTGGTTTCCTTGTGACATGAGAAAAAAGTCACCCTCACTCCTGGGATTCGTCCTTCCAGCTACGGTCGATGTCTCCCCGAGTCACTCCCTGTTCCCTTCCGTGAGCAAACGGCTGCACGAATGCATGCATGAGCAGCCCGGCCCCGGCCTGGGGGAGCGCACGGATGCCACCCGAGATCACAGTGGCCTGGGTACCTCCTGCTCGCCCCTCTTTCCTTACATGGCCTGGGGATGGCGCCTGCAGAGTGAGCTGCGTTGGGCACAAGTTGACACGTAGGTGGATGGTTAGTTCCTGAAAGGGTTGGCGTGCACTGGGTGGACGCACACCTGAGCTGTTCCTGGATGGGGTGGCACTGGGTGGGCAGCTCGGGGTCGCTGTCCCCGCACGCCCTGGCACCCCAGCGCCATCTGCCTGAAGACTTTCTGCTTTATAACATGGGCACAACCAGGGCCACACAGAAGCGCCCAGGTGTTGGCATTTTGGGAAGCAGCCCTCAAGCAATGACTGACGAGAGCCCGCCTTCCCTCCCTGCCCCTGGGCTGCCTGGGGCACTTCCCCCGCCGGCTCCACTCTGCGTCAGCCTCCCTCAGGTCCTGTGCCATTTCTCGGCTCCCTGCTGGGGCTTCCCAAGACCACCCCACAGAGAGCCCACTCACGCCCACATCCTCGTCTCAGGGTCAGTTGTGGGGACTCCAGCCTGGGCGCACACACACACACACCCGCACCTGTCTTACTAGTTCCCTGGTGGGTTTTTAGAAATGTCCAGGACGAGGTCTGAGTTCATGGGGAGAATCCTGCAAAATCCACCCGTGTCCTGTGATTCCCGGGGGACTACGGGTGTTGCGTGAGCATGGGAGGCCCGGGGTGGGAAGAAGGCCAGCACCTGGCTTTTGAGGTTTCTCTGTTCTGGCCTAGGTCCTGGCCAAGGCCCAGGGAGACCTCGGAGGGGTCTTGGATTTCCCTTTCTGGATCTTCCCGGCCTTCCCCACAACTGTTGGACCTTCTGCCCCTCACCCCTTGAAGACAACGGAGAGCCCCGTAGCTGCATCACAGGCGGCAGTCCCCAAACTCACATTTGCCCCAAATCTGTGGTTCATGCATCGCTCGGTCTAAAAATCAGTGTCCTGCCCCCATGAGCCTGGTCCTGGGCCTGCGGCGGGCTCAGGCTCCTCGTCCTGTGTCCCCTGGTGCTGTGGCATTGGAGCCCACCTGGACCCCACCTTCCACCAAGACCGGTGCACTTGGGTGCAGGGGTGAGGACGGCCCTGCTGTGGGTGCCCGCTGCTCGGGTGACCCAGTGCCTGGGAGTGCCCCTGCCGGCCACTGGCGATGTGAGGCTGCCCACCCAGGCCCATGGCGCTGTGGGAGGAACAGTCAGCTGCATGGCTGAGGTCTTGGAGCTGGAGTGGGGATTCCTGGTGCATACGTTCCACACGCACAGACCCCATGCCGCTTCCTCTCGTAAGGGCCCCTGTGACCCCATCTAAACCTAGTCACCCAAGGCCCCAGCCCCACATCCCAGCACAGGAATTTGGAGGGGCCATTCAGTCCCCACAGCACCCCGGGACTCAGTCGTCATTGGTCTAGGGGGTCCCCTGGACACTGGGATTTTATTATTTGTTTGAAAGGAGAGTTACACAGAGAGAGACAGACATGCTCCATCCACTGGTTTACTTCCCAGATGGCTGCAACAGCCTGGCCCAGCCGAAGCCAGGAGCCTTTCTGGGTCTCCCACAGGGGTGCAGGGGCCCAAGGACCTGGGCCATCCCCCGCTGCCTTCCCAGGCCACAGCAGAGAGCTGGACTGGGAGTGGAGCAGCCGGATCTTGAACCAGCGCCCACATGGGACAGCTCAACCCGTTGAGCCACAGCACTGGCCCCTGGTGCTGGGGTTTTTAAAAGGTCCTAGGGGACCGGTGTGGCGCTCTGAGTTGAGAAACAGGGCACGGGCTGCTCGCTGGGCCTGCAGCGCCCTTCTTCCTTGTGGGGTCGATGAGGCCGTGCCTCCCTGGCGAAGCCCCTGCGTCACCCCTCTGGGTGGTGTCCCTGACTCCCGGAAGTGGCTGCCCTTGTCTCTTCCAGCGGCGTCCCCTGCCTCCCTCCGCTTGTAACCGGATCGTAAGCCAACTCTGAGCTGCACAGATACAGTGAGCGTGTGTTTTCCCAGCATTGCTGTCTCTCCTGCATCTCTGCCGGCCACCGGTGGAAGAAGTCAGGGGGGACCTCAGGCGCACACGGGGCCAAGGAGAGCAGCCGGCCCTGATGGCACACGCGCCACAGGCCAGGCCCCGCGCCGAGCCCCTCATGGGCACCATCTCACCCATGTTACAGGTGATGAAACTGAGGCCCAAGGTCTGGGGCCAGGATTCACGGCCAGGTCTGACCGGAAGTGGATGGGCAGCGCCAGCTTGCCCGGAACTCGGCAGACTAAGATTTGCGGCCCTGCCCAGGCCTGCGCAGGCAGAGCCGAGGTCTCACAAGGCCTGCGGGTGATGGTGATGTTGCCTTTAAACTTTGATTCTGAGACTCACAGCTGGAAGGGGTCCGCTCGCAGCTTCCCTGAGTGGAGCCGGACTGCAGGAGGACAGCGCGTGGGCAGGGGGCGGAGGAGACGGTGAAGGCGCAAGGCTGCCTGCAGGCTGGGCCCTCCACCGCCTCCGTCCCTGCCCCTGCCCCCGGGAGAGTGACGTCACTCTGCAGCCGCACGTTTCTCCTGGAGTTCGGGTGAGGCTGCTTCCTGCCTGGCCGGGCCTCACCTGGGCCCCCAAGCCCTGGCCGGCGGGTCTCAGCGGGGCCACAGCCCCACCCTGGGAATTCGGAGGCCTGGAAGTTGCCTTGGTTGCTCCAGCCTCGGGCAGCGAGGGCGTTAGGGTGTCACCTACGGCTTCCACCTCCCGCACCTGGACCAAAGCCCATGGTGGCCACGGGGGCCTAGGCTGGGGGGTGTGTGTGGTGTCGTGCTGTCCAGGTGTCCACCAGCCTCTGCGCGTGGGAGGGTGAGTGGCCCTCGAAGTTCCAGGGTGCAGGTGATTCCATCCCATCAAGGAGATGAGGCGCGGCTGAGGGGGGCGCTCCGGCGGGCCTAATCCCTGGGGGCCCCAGGGGCTGCGAGGGCAGGCGCGGTCAAGGGCGAGGCCGCGGGTCCCGCAGGGTCAAGTGGGGACTAGGGTTGTTGGAAGAACCCCAGTCCTGCGGCCGGGCTGCGCTTCCGCGAGTGACCAGCAGGTGGCGCCGCCAGACCGCGCGGGGCCCGCGCTTCGGGGCCAGCAGGTGGCGCCTCCGGGCTTCTCCCGCCGCATCTGCGGGGACAGCGCCGTCGGGGGTGGGCATCTCCCGCCAGCATCTCCTTGTCCCCCGGCAAGGGCGCTTCGGAGCGCTGTCCCCTGTGCCTGAAAGTACAAGTTCTGCCCGGCTCGTCTCAGGGCTAGACAAGTTTCCTCTTGGCAGGTGCTGTGCTGTCAATCATCCCACCAAATGCTCCGCCCCCCTCCCCCCGCCCCCCAGCAGCCTCACTTGCAGGAGATACCCCGGGGCATCCGCGTCCCCAGAAACACCCAGGAGGCCCAAGAAGGCCGGGGGCTTGGAGTGGCTCTGCTTCCTGGCGTTTTCCACCCGACCTGGAGCGCTGGGGAGAGGCGGGCCAGGAGCAGGAAAGCCTTGGGGGCGGGTGCTGGGACCCCAGGGAAACCTGCTGTGCCCCGTCCTGCTGGGTGACCTCAGACTGCGAGGTCCGGCCTGAGGGGAGGGGTTGGCCAGGACAGCCGCACTGGACTTTCCCAGCTGCTTCCAGACACGCGTGCACCCGCCCTTCCCCCGGGCTGCAACCCTAAGGTCCGGCCACAGCCGACAGGAGCCACAAAGTGGCTTTCCGCCCTGGGTTCCTCCAGGTGGGAGGACCCCCACTGTGCCCGGTGTGCAGAGGGAAGGTGACTGATGGAAGGCGTCAGGCCAGGCCGGTCCAGAAACTTCCACCGTGCTTACCTCTCACTCCCCTGCGGACCGAGAAGTGGTGTTGCCCCGTGGTTAGAGCCCCTGCCTGGGGAAACCGGCGGCCTGGCCAGCCTCGGGGACTTGTGGGATGGACGTGGACCTGCCGCCCACATCCGAGTGCTGTTGAGGAGATGGGAGGGGCTGCCGCGTGGGGAGTGCTGGAGCTCTGGCCCGGCCTTGCGGGCTCCTAGAGGTGAAGAAGCCCACCTCCCCTCTGCGAGCAACTGGGTTCCAGGCAAACTCCGCCCCCAGTTCTCGATTCCTGCTGCCGCACCCTGGGGGAGGCATTAGTGATGGCGCCTGTCGCTGGGTTCCTGTCACCCACCAGGGAGACCTGGATGGAGTTCCCTGCTCCTGGCTTCAAGGACGTTTGGGGAGTGAACCAGCAGATGGGGACTCTGTCATTTGCCTCTCAAAAGAAATTATAAATATTAAACCATCTCAGCTGTCCTGACGGCTGTACTAGGGGCAAGCAGTGGCACCCTGCCACTCCCCCCAGCAGCCCCCACTGCTTGAGATGGCGAGAGCAAGAGCCTCCGGCTGGGGCTGCCATTGGGGCACAGTGGGTTAAGCTGAGGCTTGTGATGCCGGCATCCCACATGGACGCCGGTTCGAGTCCTGGCTGCTCCAGGTCCGATCCAGCTCCCTGCTAATGTGCCTAGGGAGGCAGCAGATGATGGACCAAATGCTTGGGCTCTTGCACCCTCGTGGGAGACCTGGATGGGGTTCCAGGCTCCTGGCTTCAGCCCAGTCCAAACCTGGTCATTGTGGCCATTTGGGGAGTGAACCAGCAGACAGAAGCTCTCTCTCTGTCTCTACCTCTCTCTGTCACCCTGTCTTTCAAATAAATCATTAAAAAAAAAAAGGCTCAGGCCCGATGGCTTTTGGCCTGGCCTGCAGGCTACTTCCAGTTTGACCCCTGCTAAGACCCCAGTCTTCCAGGCCCAGCGAGAATGGGCAGCCCCCCACCCCCGGCACACACTGGGCACACACACAGCCCCCCACCCCTGGCACACACAGGGCACATACACAAGCCCCCCCCCCCGTTGGCACACACACAGGCCTCCCCCCACCCCCGGCACACACGAGTGGGTGCCTGCTCAGAGGCCAGGGGTCCATGGACACCATCGTCCTTCCCAGCCTGTCTGTCACTTCCTGCTCTGCCCCCGGACTCCCTCTCCTCCACTTTGCTGCCCCTTCCGTGAGCCTGCGTGCTCTGAACCTTGCGCCCGGGACCCTGGACTACTTAGCTGTATCCGTGGCCACCTTTGGTCTCAGCACTCAGCCACACCCCCGACTTCTCCCCAGAGCTCCAACTCCATCGAGAGCCAGGACCTCCAACTCCACCGCCCCAACCCAGCTCTGCCCCGCCCCTCCAGGCCTGCACCCCCCCTCCCGGGGAGCGGCAGCCCCAGGCTCCACTTTGTCTGGAAGGCACGGGTGCCCACTAAGAGGCCCAGGCCTGAGTCCACCCCTTAGTTCCAGAACAGCCCGT